AACCTTGAAGCCGTCCACTATCACCTTGAGACGACCAAGCCGGCCTTGCTCTTTCTTACAGAGACTCAGATATCTTCTCCGGCGGACACTTCTTTCCTACACTACCCCGGGTACAAGCTCGAACACCGTTTTTTACCACGGGCTGGGGTGTGCGTGTACGTCCGTGAGGATATCTGCTCTCGTCGCCTCGACCATCTTGAAGGCCGGGACCTATCCGTTTTATGGCTGCGCGTAGATAGCGATGATCATCCGCGAGTCTACGCGTGCCTTTATAGGTCCCATGGCGGAAACACCGATACAGACCAACTCATGGAGCTAGTCCAAATGGGCACAGATTCCGTGTTTGAGCAGATCCCTTCTGCTGAAGTCGTGGTACTTGGTGATTTTAATGCCCATCATGCCGAATGGCTCGGCTCACGTACCACGGATCACGCGGGGAGGTCTGTTCATGACTTTGCCTTAGCATATGTTCTAACACAGCTGGTTACCTCGCCTACGCGAATCCCAGATGTTGTTGATCATTTACCTTCCCTGTTGGACCTTCTGCTGACCACGCATCCGGACAGCTATTTGGTTTCCGTTGACGCCCCTTTAGGGTCGTCGGATCACTGCCTGATCCGGACAACAGTGCCAATCTCCAGACGTTTTCGGTCACAACCGATTGGTCTTCGTCGAGTTTGGCACTACAGGTCAGCAGATTGGGATAGGATGCGGTCCTTCTATGCATCCTACCCATGGGGGCAGGTTTGCTTCAATCTGGACAATCCCGACGCCGTTGCTGACTCTATCGCCGATGTGGTACTCCAGGGGATGGAACTTTTTATTCCATCAACTATGGTGCCCAGCGGTGGTAGATCTCGGCCTTGGTTCGGTCGTTCTTGCAAGATAGCCTTACGCTACAAGCGAGAATGTTACCGTGCCTGGGCTGAAGCGTTGGCAGCGGGGGACCATAACTCCAGCGCGCTTAAAATGAAGTACAACTCTGCCTCCAGGTCCTTCAAAAGAGTAATTGCAAAGGCAAAGTCCGAACACGTGGCCAGCATTGGCGAGAAGCTAGTGCGCCTTCCTTCCGGAACTCGCGCGTTCTGGTCTCTCGCCAAGGCTGTCCAAGGAAATTTCTGTCGCCCATCACTACCATCTTTGCGCAGGGAGGACGACTCGTTGGCCCATACTGCTAAAGAGAAAGCCGATCTTCTGGTATCCCTCTTTGCATCTAACTCGACACTGGATGACACAGGTTACTCACCGCCGAAAATCCCTGGTGGTGACACCTTTATGTCGGAGATCCAGTTCATCCAGAGATCAGTGCGTAAGGTGCTGCTATCTCTGGATGTCAACAAGTCGAGTGGGCCCGACGGTATTCCTCCTCT